ATTGATGGACATTTGGGTTCGTTCCAAGTTTTTGCTATTGTGAATAGTGCCGCAATGACCATACGTGTGCATGTGTCTTTATAGTAGAATGATTTGTAATCCTTTGGCTGTATACCCAGTAATGGGATTGCTGGGTCAAATGGTATTTCTGGTTCTAGATCCTTGAGGAATCGCCACACTGTCTTCCACAATGGTTGAACTAATTTACACTCCCACCAACAGTGTAAAAGCATTCCTATTTTTCCACAACCTCTCCAGCATCTGTTGTTTTCTGACTTTTTAATGACCACTATCTTCAGGATATTTCTAATTTATATTGTGATTTCTTCTTTGATCCATGGATTATTTTGAAGTATGTTTTAATCTCTAGTTATTTTCATTTACATTTCTGTACATTTTCTAGTTACAGTTTTGTTTCTGATTTCTAGTTTAATTCTGTAGTGGTCATGTCACCAGTGGATGTCTTGACTATGAGTCGTCCAGATTCTTGATGTTTTGAACAAAGAATTGGATAAAATGCACAAACAAAGCAACAAAAAAAATGAAGCAATGAACTCATAGGTTTATGCTAACATAGATTTAAGCATAGTGAAACAAAATTACACTCCACAGAGCAGCCCAAGAGCACTGGCTACAGAATTTTCTGTGGTTTAAATACCCTCTAGCGGTTTCCCATTGGTTACTTGGCTACCTCCTATGTAATGAAGGACTGACCTGTGACCAGTCTGATTGGTTGGAGGAGGTGACCAATCAGAGGCTAAAGTGAAGTTACAGAGTTACCCGTGAAGACTTGGCTGGTCACCAGTCTGACTGTGGGAGGGGACCAATCAGAGGTACTTCCCATTTTTCATCTGCCACACAGTGCAAAGGGAGTAGCCTCTGATCCTTTTGTTACTTGGGTGTGGAGAGCTGGGGTTTTACTTTTGATTCAGTTCTAGGAAGTCAGCATGGCCCTAGGTTTCCTGCCTTCAGACTTTATTCTCCTGCCTCGTTTAGAAAACATCCTCTTCATGCTTCCAATTTGTGAAATGTATTGAGACTTAATTTATTGCCCAGCATATAATCAATTTTGGCAGATTTCCACAGGCACTTGAAAAAAAAAAGAATTCTGCAGTTGTTGAGTATACATCTTTTTTTTTAGAGCTGTGGTTCTCACCACTGTTTTAAAAGATAAGAACCACAGGTCATATTCCGTGTGTGTGCACATGCTATTTTTTCTATGGTAAGAAAATACTTTGTCTTGTTTTGCAGGTGCTATGCAATATGCAGATGGTAAATTAAAATGCTTAAAATATATCCATGCCTAAATCCTTTTATAGATATGTTATTTATATAGAAATAGAGGTATGAAATTAGGTAATAAAGCAAGAACTAAAGTAATAGGAGGGCATCATCACGTGGTGTTTGATAGTTCCATAGAAATTTCTTCTTAAGGTTGATGTTTATAGTGTAATTTAACAATAATAATATAAATTTTGTTGCTTTATAAAATTATTTAAAAATTTTTCTTATATCAATTACATTTAAGCCAACTCTTAGTACACTATGTAGACTAAAAAGAGATTGCAAACATTTAAAAAGGAGGGATCTTCAGAGCTATATTTTTTAATGAAATTTTTATTCCACCTACATTTGTGTGTTCTACACTTTAAAAAATAAAATGCAAAAATAAAGTGAAAAGTAAAGATAAAAGTGTGGTGTTACTATTTTCAAAACTTGAAGGATATGGTGTGGCTAAAATAAATTTTATATATTCACAGCTTTAATGTTGTTTCTCTCAAATCCAGAAAACAGTAGTGAAGTCTACCCATTGAGCCCACTTAACATCTTTATATATCACAAACCCATTTTGTGTAACTTGTGCCTTGGTCTCTGGAGCAAGAGTTACACTAAATCTAAAGTAGCACCAGATGCCTGGAGCTCAGCTGTGATAATTCACTTAGTTGGCCCACAGCTAGGCAGGGACCTAATATAAAAAAGCAAACCAAAGGAAATAAGGTGTAACATTATTACCAGACCGAAATTATCCTGTGCTGGCATATCAAAAGGAACCTCAGAAAAGGATTGTTATATTGAGGAAAAAAAATACTCTGATCAAGAAAACAGGCCTGGCATAGTGCCTTATACCTGTAATCCCAACACCTTGGGATGCCAAGGCAGATTGCTTGAGCCCAGGAATTCAGGATCAGCCTGGGCAACATGGCAAGACCCTGTCTCTACAAACAGTTTTTAAAATTAGCCAGGCATGGTGGCACATGCCTATAGTTCCAACTACTTGGGAGGCTGAGGAGGGGGGATCACTTGAGCCTGGGAGGTCAAGACTGCGGTGAGCCATGTTCACTGGATCATGAACTGGATCATGTTTGTTTTGTAACCAACATTCTTTCTCTTTCATCCTCCCTCCTGGATCCTACCTTGTTTAGGCATCTACTCTTTGCCACATAGGTACGAAGAGTGAAGCTGGCCCCATCCCCAGCTTCAAATTTTGATGGCTTCTGATTAATTTCAGACAATTATGGTCATCCCATTTCTTCTACCAGTGATGGGTTTAGGAATAGACATGTGACCCAGGTCTGTGCATTGAGATCTGTGAGGCAATATGCTCAAGACTTCTAGGAAAGATCACCTGTCTTCTAAGAAAAAAGGTAAAGGAGTAGATGGTGTGCTGACTCCCAAAACCACTTACGTTGGAAAATTTTTAATTGACTTCATGTTACAGTATTTAGGTATTACCCTTTAATTCGGTGGCTAATTAAATATGCACTTTTAAAGGGGCAGAGGATGTCAGTTTAATGATTGATAAACTTTGTCCTATCCCTTGAGAATATATTTGGAAACAGCAGAAAATCCAAATATTGTTGTTTTTTCTTTTTCTTTAACAAATAGGGATTTGTCTCAGCCATCAAGTTTGGAGGTGGGTATTTAGTGATGTTTCAGATACCCGGACTTTTCATTTTCCTGCTTCTGCCTTCCTAGCTTTCATTCTCGTACTTAACCACTGTATGGTCACAAGGTAGCTGCTACTCCTCCAAGAAGGAAGCAGGGGAAAGGCAAAGGGACAAAGGGGCATGCCAGTAGAGTCTGGCTGCTTTTATCAGGAAAACAAAACTTTCCTGGAAGGTTCACTCTGAAATCTGCTTAGATCGGCCACTCCTAATCGGAATGCTGCTTAGGAGAAAAAGAGGTTATGGATGGAGTCAAGTCAGTCTGCCAGCGGTGGCAGCCACACATAGTTACCCACCCCACATAAATGGATCAAGCTAATTAACTGCCTGAAACCACTTGTCTCTTTACTATTCTGTAATTCTGTGGGTTATTTTGCTATGACTTGCAACATGTCTAATCTGTCTTCTTGAATTCAGCTTCAACTATATTAATTCAGCCACTTTTTTACTTTTTGCTTATGTTATAAACTAAAGTTAGTACAGCCGGCCCTCCATGTATGTGGATTCTGCATCTGTGAATTCAACCAACCTCAGATGGAAAATATTTGAAAAAATGTGTGGTTTCTATCAGACTTTTTCTTATTATTTCCCAAACAATACGGTATTACAACATTTACATAGCATTCACATTTGTGTTAGATATTGTAAGTAACATCGAGATGATTTAAAGTATGTGGGAGGATGTACTTAGGTTATATGTAAATACTATACCATTTTGTAATAGGTACTTGAGCATTTTTGCGTTTTGGTATTTGAGAGGGAATGGTGGGGTTAGAACCAGTTCCCCACATATGCTGAGAGATGACTCTGTGGATAGACTATTAGACTCACTAGGTAAGACATTTAGTTTTACTTTTTTCCCAAAATTGGGGCCTCTGAGCAACTATGTAAATTTGTGCTACATTTGTGCAAATTATTATTTTTCATTTGAACCAAGCATTGTGGTAATTTTTAAATGAAGCTTATAGTTCTTATGTAACTTTTTATCTTAGGAAGAACAGAGGAACTATTGAATGTTTGAACTGAACTCCATATCAATGATAATACAAACTACTGTTTCAGGGTCCCTTGAGAAAAGAGATGCACAGTTCATTAAAAGAAAAAAAAAAAGATCAGTGTTTACATTTAATGTTTAGTATTGCATTCAGAATTTGTCTACAAAGACTTAACTGTTCTTAAATTATGTACTGGGCTCTATTTCCCTCCTGTCCCCAACTCTGTCCTTGTTCACAGATACATTTATTCTCAATCACTGAGATAAATAATTGAGGTAAAAATCAAAAGGAGAATTTTAGAGTGAAAGAAAATGTGGTTTCATGTTAACTGCTAGAGGTAGAGATGCCTACTATAGGCAAGATGGAGTCATAATTTACAAAGAATACAGACACAGAGGTAGAGTGGGATAGAGTGCCATTATAATGGAGAAGAGACAGAACACAGCCTCCAATCTTTGCTGACTGATGGATGTTAGCAAACAGGGAATGGGCCTGATTCACAGTACACCTCATTTTAGGATTCTGGATCCAGAACAGATAGAGAAAAACATTTCTGACACCGCCAGCTGAATGCTAGTTTAAGTTCATCTCAGTAACTGAAGAACATAGGTGAGTTCTTGTTTAACACAGTTGAAGAACAAGCAGAGGTATTATGTTTGTTTTTCCAACCATATTTGTATTGCTTTGACCCTAGGGTGGCCACAGATCACAGGGTAACAGATGAAGTATGTATACATCAGGATTGTTTTGAGACAGACAAATAAATACACTGTTTAATACTTATCACGCCCTCATTTTTATGATATGTAACAGGATCTTTCTTCATATATGACTTTTATTTTTGCTAATCTTATTATGCAGGAGGTGAGGAGTGGGAAACCAGATTATTTTATTTGTGCCTCTGAACTAGGGAAGAAGAGGTCATTAGTAAATCTAATAGTTATGTTGCCATCAATTTTTTGATCCAGTTTTCAAAAGTTATTTACGGTTATTGTGTGTAACACTATACTGCATGTTGAGGCTAATTGGAAACAGTGACCAGATTCTTAATCATTATCAGGAAACTGCATTCAGAGAATGAGAAGAACACCCCCGCTGGATGAATTGCAGCCACCACCATATCAGGATGACAGTGGTTCTCCCCATCTGTCATGTACACCCTCAGAAATTGGGGACAGTAAATGTGAATTTTCCCACTGCAGCAACAGTCCAAGATGCTCATATAACAAGTGCCCAAGTGAAGGAAGCACAGGTCATGAAATAGAAAGTTTTCATAATAAAGGATATGAAGAAGATGTTCCAAGTGACAGCACTGCAGTCCTGAGCCCTGAAGTAAGTAAAAGCACATAGAAGTTTGAAAATGAATGTTATTTGGAGGATAATAATCCTGTGCTTCTCCTCTTGGTAAGAAGAATTGATTTTATCACTATCTTATTCCTTTGTAATTTATAGTACCAGTATCCATCCTTAATCTAATCTTTATCCAACAAACTTATCAGGAATGTCCCAACTAGTCTTCAACTGCCCCCACTCCCCAACCCCAAGCCCCACCACCAAAGGAAGATGGGTACCTACAGATTTTTTTTTTTAACACTTTGTATAAAACATTCTAGAATAATTGATTTTATCATTTATTTCATCTTGAGGCTACTATTTGTATTATTTTATTTTATTTTGGATTTTTTTTTTTACTATGAGGAGGTTACTCAATGTTTCACAAGTCTTTCATAATCTTATTGTATTTTCATATCATAGAAAATACAAGGGATAAATGATGATAAGCTTTACTAATGAAATTTGAATCCATGGCTTCATGCATTCAGAGTGGCTAGTTGGTTGGGCTTTAAGTTTACTTACTGTTTTGGAGCAAAAATGTGAAAATGACAACAAAAATAATTTTGTGGCCGTTGTGAAGTATTACTGTATTCTAAAAAGAATTTGTTTTAATATTTCTGTCATAATGAAAACAAAAAAGGCAATCTAGTGGTTTTATAAGTTAGTATTTAGATTTACTTTCAAGTTTTTTTGTTTTTGTTTTGAGACAGGGTCTCGCTCTGTCACTCAGAACAGAGTGCAGTGGCGCAATCACAGCTCACTGCAGCTTCGTCCCACCTCAGCTTCCCAAGTAACTGATACTACAGGTGTGTATCACCACACCTACAAATTTTTTAATTTTTTTGTAGAGACAGGGTTTCACTATGTTGCCCAGGCTGGTCTCAAATTCCTGGGCTCAAGCAGTCTTCCTGCTTCAGCTTCCCAAAGTGCTGGGTTTGCAGGCATGAGCCACTGCACCCAGCCTACTTAAAAGTTTTAGATTGCAAGTTTTTACTGCTTTTGTTCCAGACAACATTCAGTAATACTGAAATATGTCCGTATTCTTACCAGATGAATTTTCAGATCTGCTGCCAAAATTAAATAATAGATGTAGTTTCCTAATACACAGAACAATTAAGCTATGGATAGAATTTCCTTAATTTTAAGTTTTTCTTTTATAATTGTTAAAAATACCTTGTATCTGTTATTGCTTTTTTTAGTATTTCTAGTATTACAGTATCTGACCTAGAAGAAAATTGTACATTGATATTTTAAGTTTAATATATCATTATTTTATTATTTTTCATGATGTATGTTTCTTTGTGTTCCATTACCTAAACAAATTTGAGACAGCTGTTTTGTAGCTTTGTAAACTACATATACAGCTCACAAGTTAACAGTGAAGTCTGGATTGTGGGATTAATAAACAACAACAAAATACTATCACCACTGTGTCAGGAATTTTGCTATGAGCTTTATGTAGTCTGCTCATTTAATTCTAACAACCACATCTTTAGGAAGTTATTATCTCCATTTCATAAATGAAAACATTAAGAGTCAGAGAGCTAAACAATTTGACTAAGTACAAGCAGCTCTTAAATAGTGGAACTACAGTTCAAACCCAGGTCTGTCTGACTGCCAAAACGGTGCTCTTAACAAGTATATTATATTGTCTTTTTTGATCCAAAACGTTGTGTGAGAAATTACTTTGATTCAGTGGTACCCTCCAACATTACCAGGCAAACTCTCTCAGAGGACTAAAGGACCAAAGTAAGATGCTCAAATTATGTATGTGTGTGTGTGTGAGAGAGAGAGAGTGTGTGTGTGTTTTAATCCATTTCACATACAAAGCAAGAAGTAAGAGGAGCTAGATGAAATCAGAAATCCATTAACACACCTAGGGATAAGCTGCAAGTGGGTATAGGTAGCAAGACCACACTGTGTGAGTCCTGGTGTATGCAGTGCCCATACATCCTATCTCACTGTCTTTTTTCCATCAGCATTCCTATTTATGATGTAACAAGGACCAGAGTTGAGATTTGAACAAGGGTACCAAGAGCCAACAGCACACACTTGTTTGTTTTGTGGGAGAGATATAGTTATACTCCTGACCATCACTTAAACTTGTCAGTTAGCCTGCTAGGCAGTTGTAGGTTTTATCTGCATTTCTTAAGTAGAGCACATGGGTGACAGAGCTGTCAGCCCAGAGGCTACATGATCGTGGCTTGTGCATTTCATCCCTTTCTATAGGTAACACTCATTTGATCCATCATATTTTCTATTTAATCTTTCTTTGGCATATGTTGTAAGTTATTAACTATTTGTATTTAATATCTTATGAATTCTGCCTATGTCTCACAAGCTGCTTCTTAACTCACTCTCTGTAGTTATCACACACTGTGAGTTTTGTCCGTATTTCAGAAGCTGCTAACTTGCTATCTGTAACCACTTCTTTGGAATTTCCTCCATCCTGCTTATTTTTGTGTCTTCTGTAGTAGCATTGAATGTGCTCAAACAATGTAGTAAATGCACATTACAGAAATATTTAGATGTGAATGCTGATAGCCTATGCTAATATAAAATTCACTTTTGTGTTTTTTCAAGTTTATTTTGCATCCTTGTAATAGATATTATGTGTCAGATAGAAAATTCTCACTTTTCTCTTGGTTTAATCCAGGCTGTAGTTATCTTAGAGCCTATCCACATATATGATTAAACTGAGAGAGGAGAGAAGGTTCAGAAGAATTCCATGGGAAGGAGTTTATAGACGCTGTTGATGACCTATTGCTATCTAGATAAAGTTTTTTTAAAACTGGTCCAGATACCTTGAAAGGAAGAATTGTTTGCTTATTGCCTATTTTCAGAATGCAAATAACGTCTTTTATCTGTAAATGTTCTACCCTTTCAACACTGGGTTTCACAAGAATTGTTGGCATGTTTGGAAAAAAAAGAAAAAACAATCAGGGAGGCACCAAGAGAAACAAAATTGAAAAATAGCTATCTAGGACCTGATAAACATTTTTATTGCCTGAAAATCTTAGCTGTCATGATGCTGTTTTAGAAAATCTTTAATTGAAATACCAAAACCGTATAATTAATAATCTTTAATTACCAATTATAAAGTAGTATACATTAAAACATTTTGCTCTAAACTGTAAATTTTTTTAATAGAATAAGAATATGTTTTGATTTTCTCATACTATATTAAAAACTGAATTCTCTTATGGGAATTTATTCCTTCCCCCCAAGTATTGTTCTTCTGTTGTTTTTTTCCCCCATACATTATACCAACTAGCATGTAAGATTTATAAGACCAAAGACTAACTGGGCATGGTGACTCCACACCTGTAATCCCAGCACTTTGGGAAGCCGAGGCAGGAGGGTTGCTTGAGCCCAAGAGTTTGAGACCAGCCTGGGTAACATAGTAAGACTTTTGTCTCTACTAAAAATCAAAAAATTTAGTCAGGTGTGGTGGTGTGTGCCTGTGGTTCCAGCTATTCAGGAGGCTGAGGCAGGAGGATTACTTGAGCATGGGAGGCCAAGGCTGCAGTGAGCTGTGATTGTGCCGTTGCACTCCAGCCTGGTTGACAAAGCAAGACTCTGTCAAAAAAAAAAAAAAAAATTAAGGACTCATGTCTTTTTAGTTCTCTCTGCAGAAAGAAGCACTCTCCCGACCTAAAATAGGGCTTGGCACATAGTAGGTACAGTAGTTACGGTACATGTTAGGCTGCTACAACAAAAAGACCCCTCAGCCCCCACCAAATACAATGGCTACGGAACACAGAAACTTACTTCTCTTTTGTTTAACAACAGTGCATGGTGAGCAGGGGGCTTTGCTCTATGAGATTATTCAGGGACCCAGTTCCTTCTCTTCTGTTGCTCTGCCTTGCCCTAGGGTGTTGTCCTAGTCCACATGGTCTGAGCAGACCCACACATCCTGACTGTATATCTGCTTGTGAGAAGAGTGAGACAGAGAGTGGAGAGCAAGTAATTTCTTATATAAACCTGATCTGGATGTTTCACACATAAATTATTTTTGCCTCCCATTGGCCGAAGCTGAGTCATGTAGTCGTATGAGCTATAATAGAGGCACTGAAGTATATATAGTCTCTTATGGACAGTGTTTTTTCTTTTTTTTTTTTTTACACAAAGTCTCACTCTGTCACTGAGACTGGAGTCCACTGGCATGATCTTGGCTCACTGCAACCTCTGCCTCCCTGGCGCGAGCGATTCTCCTGCCTCACCCACCTGAGTAGCTGGGACTACAGGCACCTACCACCCATACCCAGTTAAGTTTTGTATTTTTAGTAGAGATGGGGTTTCACCATGTTGGCCAGGCTGGTCTCAAACTCCTGACCTCAAGTGATCTGCCTGCCTCGGCTCCCCAAATCTTGCGGGTAGTATTTCTAGCTAACACTCAGGAAGATTTTGTTTTGTTTTGTTTTGTTTTGTAAATGGAAAAAGAGAAGACTGAGATTCAGTAGTATTCACTGCCACTCAAAGTTTAGAAAATTTTAAAAATTTATTAAATTGGCCCACATTTTGAAATGAGAATTATTTCAGATTTATTGAAATACTTGAAGAGGCAGAGTGGTATAGTTGAAAGGTCAGAGACCTAGGTTTGACATTGTTGGTAACTAGCTAAAACCCCTATTACATTCTAGATAGATAGACTGGCAGGAATTTGAGACAATTACAGGAAAAATGGTTATAATTTCTTTTAATTTCATAATTAAAATGTACCATTTCAGCCTTTCTTGAACTTTTAAAATGTGTGTTCTGTCATTTTAAATAGTCATTAATGTTAGAAAATAATGTGTTTTTAATTGTGGTTAGAAATTGAAGTAAATATAGTCTATGTTACAGAAAGTAAATATTTGCTAATATTTTGAGACCTTTATGCTTTCACATTTCCATTGATTTTTAAGTCTAAATATCTTTATATTTTATTACAGATTGGGGTGTTTTAGAACAAACTCTGAAGACGGAACCAAATTTTTTAATAGCATTATACTTTTACTTATGTTCTGTTCCTCTGCAGCCTGATACTGTGCTGTCAGTGGCATTGTTTATAACATTGAAAGTAAAATGTAGTAGTTTTCTACAAAAGGAGCAGATATACCCACTAAAGGATATATTTTAAATTATCATTTATAAAAACATACATCACACTTTCTCAGAATTGTAATGGTGAATATTAAATTCTAAACGTGTCTTTATTATCATAAGTTTTGAGTTTAACTTATTGCTTATAGTAATCTCGCCCTATAGGGTTGCTTTTGGTTGTAGTTGACGGTTAATTGTTATTGTATTACTTTCTTTGTGGCAGAATTGTTTTCACATCACAAGGCTTTCACATCACAAAGCAGAGAGACTGTTTAGATTGGTATTTCCTTCTGAAGAAATACCAAGTATTTATTGACATGCTAGGTTAAATAATTGAGTTAAAAACTCTAACATTTAAATTTTCTTTTCTTAGGATATATCAGCTCAAGGATCATCATCACAGCTTCCTAAACCTTTTGATCCTGAGCCAGAAGCTAAATATGGCACACTGGATGTGACTTTTGACTATGACTCACAAGAACAGAAGCTTCTGGTAACAGTGACAGCTGTCACAGACATCCCAACATATAACAGGACAGGTGGCAACTCATGGCAAGTACACCTTGTTCTTCTACCTATAAAGAAACAGAGAGCAAAAACCAGCATCCAGAGAGGACCATGCCCTGTCTTCACAGAAACATTTAAATTTAATCATGTTGAATCTGAGATGATTGGAAATTATGCAGTTCGGTTTAGACTGTATGGTGTACATCGCATGAAAAAAGAAAAGATTGTGGGGGAAAAGATTTTTTATTTAACAAAATTGAATCTTCAAGGGAAAATGTCATTGCCTGTGATACTGGAACCTTCTTACAATCATTCTGTGAGTATCTCATCAAATGGCCTGAATATAGTTTATGTTAATGGTTTATAGTGTGCACAATTTTAAAAATCTTTAATCAAGCCAACAAGTTTGTCAGTCTATTTTTTAACATAGTAATCATGCCTTTTCAAAAATATCTAAGCCCTGGATAGATAGATATACTTTTTCTTACCTAAAAAAGTTGCCCTTGAAGATAATTTGTGATTTATGTCTTTTATTTTATCCTTCACAGAGTTTTGGCCCAGGGTTTTACATGTTTGTTATTTTGTTGAACATTTATTAAATGTTTGATTATGAAGTCATCCAAACTCCTTATAGAATTTTTTTTTCCAGGTTAAAATTAGGCAATGCATTCAGAAGTATCAGCCCCATATATTATTTGCTATATGGCAGAAAGGATTTGCCCTTACAGAATATGTACTGCTCCCTAGGTCATGACTGGATATGTTTCCAGAACTTCTGTGAAATTATTTTAAAGTTTCAAAATAAATCTGGCCTCAGTAGACTTTCCACCCTTTTTAAACAGATTGTGAAGTATTTCCAGAGAACCCTTAAGCTTAGTACTTTGAGCTAGTTCTCTCTTTTCTCTTTTTGTCCTCCAGATGATAATCACATATAAATCTCTCTCTCTGTCTTCACATTTTAAACTAAATTCCCACAAGGCATTGCAAATCACAGGAGAGAAATGTCTGCACTGTTTATTTAAACCAGGGAGATACATTATGCCACATTTAGATTATGAAAAAATGTGTGATATGCTATAAGTGTGCAGTACGGTTTATATTTATTCCTCTCTGTTATATTGAAAACAAAGCATTTTAAAAATATAAATATACAGATTTTAGAATATATTTATATTTTAAAATAAAGGTATATTATTTTAGTGTTGTTGTTTTAAGCTTTTAAATGTGTAAGCTTCAGTCCAAGTAGTTTAGAGTCTCATTGCATTTACACCAGGCAACATTTTATGTTGTAGGAACTTCATTCACAGTCACACTATACCAGTTTAACTAAATGATTTCAATGTCTTTATGTACAAATGATGATGGTAAATATAGTATATTCATATGGGTTTCTAGGATAAGAATTAATATCTTTCGGGAAAATTGATAACTTGCTATCCTTTTAAATTTTCAGAATTATCATTTTGGGGAAATGCCTTTTTAAAATAATAGCAGCAGCTTATAAGAGGGGAGAAAAAAGAGTGCAGGCAATATTTCGGGGGAAAAGAACAAATTTTTCATAAAATTTAATAATCTACAGTTATTAATATGATTTCTAAACTTTTTCGTTATTTGGTCTGGGTGATCACTAGTTATTCTGTGGAAAATACACCCTTATCTAGAAATAACTTATTTAAATTAGCAGAGAAAGACTCTGTCATCAAGAGGTATGTAATTTATCTGTTCCCAATTGTGTTTTAATTACATTCATTTCACAAAGAGAATGAAGTCATAGAAAATAATACTGTCTTACCTCTGTTCAAACTAAGCAATTTTTTAATGGACCTATATTACATGTGTTAGCTTCGGGTCATTGATTCTATAATCTTTTTCTGCCAACCAGTACAATAATTTCTGAGGAAAAAGTGCTAAATAAATAGCTTGTAAGACATAGCATTTCTTTTTTATTAACTTTTATTTTAAGTTCAGGGGTACATGTGCAGGTTTGTTATATAGGTAAACTTGTGTCATGGGGGTTTGTTTTACAGATTATTTCATCACCCAGGTATAAAGCCCAGGACCTAATAGTTAATTTTCCTGATCCTCTATCTTCTCCCACCCACCACCCTCTGATAGGCCCCATTGTCTGTTGTTCCTCTCTAAAGATGTAACATTTGTATTTGAATAAAACTATCCATCTTCTGCCCTTAGAGAATGTTTTCTCTGTGTTGACATGCTTCTCAAATTTAGTACCCTATATTTAATTCTTCTTCTTTATTACTTTCCTTCTTTCTCCACCTTCTCAAATCTCATTGGTTCCTTTTGGCTTCTGTGCTATCAGTTATTTAGTTGTTAAAATATACCAATAGAATGTATATATTCTATATATACTATAGTATTAATGTTCTCTTTGCTTAAGTTTTAATATTAACTTTGTGGGAAGATCTTGTGATTACAGTTTACTTGGGTGAGTTTGGCTCTAATTTTTGTAAGATGTAGTAATATATCTGTAAGAGATATGCTCATAATTAAACATTTGTTCTAGTTGCTTTTTTTTCCCCCAGAGTCAGGGTCTCACTCTGGGAAAAGTCAGGGTCACCCAGGCTGGGGTGTAGTAGTGCAGTCATGGCTGACTGTAGCCTGAAACTCCTGGGCTTAAGTGATCCTCCCACCTCAGCATCTCAAATAGTTAGGACTACAGGTGCACACCACCAGGCCTGGCTAATTTTTTTTTTAGAGATGGGGTCTTGCTATGTTGTCCAGGCTGGTCTTGAACTCCTGGCCTGAAGCGATTCTCCCACATCAGTCTCCCAAAATGCTGGGATTACAGGCTTGAGGCACCATTCCAGGCCTTCTGGTAGCTTTTGAATACTTACTTATTATTGTTGTCATTTTTGTTGTAAGGGTATTAGCCTTTTGGCCAGGAAAATTTTAATCCAGCCAAAGAACTTGCAAACTACCATTAAAACACATTTAAGCTTACAGGTTTTTTTCATAGATAATAGGAACATAGAATTTTGCATATAAAATTTAGTTTTATAGCTAGTTTTGCAGGAACTGATTGAGAGAAAAAAAGACCAATGTCACCAAAATGACTTTCTGAGGACTAAACAGTAGGTTTCCCTGAGAATAAGATTAAAGTTTAACATTAAGGCCGGGGCGCAGTGGCTCATGCCTGTAATCCCAGCACTTTGGGAGGCCGAGGCAGGTGGATCACAAGGTCAGGAGATTGAGACCATCCTAGCTAACACGGTGAAACCCCATCTCTACTAAAAATACAAAAATTAGCCGGGTGGGGTGGTGCACACCTTTAATCCCAGCTACGCGGGAGACTGAGGCAGGAGAATGGTGTGAACTCAGGAGGCGGAGCTTGCAGTGAGCCAAGATCGCGCCATTGCACTCTAGCCTGGGTGACAGAACAAGACTCCATCTCAAAAAAAAAAAAAAAATTAAAATACCATTTGAAGTGTTCCTTCTTGATCATTGCATGATAGAAAATATACTAAGAATTAAAAAGCATAATTTCTTTCTACTGACTAGCCATGTAAACTAAGTAAATCATCTGATCATTTTGGGTATCAGGTTTCTCATTAGTGAAATGAGAGGATTAGACCAAGTGATCTCTAAAAGCCTATCCATCTCTGATATTATCTAATTATGCTAGTATATGTTGGGGAAGGAGTTAGGTAGGAACAGAAATTGGTGAATTTTAGATGAGTTTTGTATGCTTGATATGACATTTTGTGGCAGACATGTATTATGTTTTCTCACTCTTCCACCTTTTCAGTAACTATCTGGGAATAACTATGTCTACCTCCCTAAGGTAAGCCATAAGTTGACTTTCCCAGTCTCACTGGTAGGTACGGCAGGAGCTGTGTGACCTAGACTCTGCCACTCATATTCATTTTCAGGAAACCTCAATACAGACTGAACAAAGAAGCAGGCACTGCACTCAGATCATGTTTCCATGAAGTTGATGGTGGAGGTATCTGGTTTTCAGAGGCAATAGTAACTCTGTAATAAAATAGCTCTGCTGATGCAGAAATGGTATTGGTGCTGGGCCACTAACAGTTGCAATAGAGAAAAGTCCTTGGCAGAAAAGAATCCAGTGAGAACAGCAGCAGGTTCTCCTCACCCAACCAATTCTGTAGTATGGTTTTTAGACTTCATTCTTGAGAAACTTAACCATTAACTTGGTTCTTTATTCATCCCTATTCCTTTAATAAATTACTATTCCACTTAATGAGTCAGTTAGCTTCTGTTGTTTTCAAATAAGAATCGTGAAATAGCCATATGGTTTACTATTAACTTGCTTTAGTATTGTCTTATGCCAAACTCAGTAGCTAGAACGTTGTCAGTTATCCTTCCTACCATGGTATATATCCCTCTCATAATTTGAACTCTTCTTACATACTCAGCTTTGTTCAGATGGCACTCTTTCTTAGCATATAACCCCAATTAATTTCTTCACTTGGATTTTTGGTACTATATTACTCTCTGTAACAGTTGCATAAAGCAGCCTTTCCCTTTTTCCTCATCCTGGTTTTACGTCTAATTGCAGCTTATTAGATTTGTTAATGTTATTATATTTGATTGATTAATAATGAAACTTTATTCTTTCTCTCACAAACATACACACAACCCTTCCTGTACAAACAGTACTTAATTAGCCTGATCTCTTCGGAGTGGCTAGCGATAATAATAGTGAGGCTACCTACACATTGGACAGTTCTCATAATATAGGAATCTTTATTAAATCATTGGTTTACTTTAAATAATATGTATGGTTTTTGGTGAGTTGCCTTTTAGGAAAACTGATATTTGACAAAGCTGTGTTGTATTTCATCTTGAAATAAGGTTCTCTACATTAATAGATGAGCTGCAGGCGTACCTATTAAGTTTTTTTTCTGTAGACAAATGGTTCTCAAAGTGTGATTCCTGGACCAATAACATCATCACATAGGAACTTGATAGAAGTGCAGATTCTCAGTCCCTCTCTGAAACTTTCTGAATTAAAAAAAAAATGTGAGGGTAGGGCCCAGCAATCTGTATTTTAACAAGCACTGTACATTATTCTGATATACATTAAAGTTTGTGAATCACTGCTTTTGACCAGGGTTTGCAAACTATGACTTGTGAGTCAACTCTGGCATGTAGCCTTCTTTGGTAAGGTCTGTTGCTCCTCTCTGCAAAAGCAGCATAGATTACCACTCTGTTCAACTCAGGTGTGGCCACATGACTTGCTTTTATCTTTTGCTCATAACCTTTAAGAATCAGAATAATGCTTTCACTATTATGGAAGCATGTGTGGAAATGGAGCCTCTTTGAGCTTTGAAG